CCTACACTTCCCGGCAAAATATGTAGAAAAATTTATTAAAACTAAACCTCTGAAGCTAGAGCCTCCAAAACAGCGCTTTCTACACTTTCAGGATTGGAAATATCTACTGTAATAACGTGGGGTCTCCCAATAAAACGTTCAGTGTATGGATTTTGACTAGTGAGCTGCAAATAAATTTTTATCTCAGAAGCAGTAAATTAGAGAAACAACGACAGTTACTTATTAGAAGCATACTATATTTCTTGTTTTTCTTAAATATTTCGTTCACAACCAATTTTTAAACAACTCAGTAGAAGACAGCGAGTTATAACTCATATCAGTTTTAATGAAACAAAAAGTATAGAAACCTCACGAAGCGTCGGCTTATCTTTGAAAAACTCGTAACTTTTTCTTGACTTTGCGGGAATGAATTTTGGATTCAAGAAAACTGCACCATTTGCTACCGCTTCTAAGGGTGCTGGACCTTCCAATGGGAACCCTAGGCCAAGAAATATCTTGACACGACGCAGAAGAGATTGAAAGTCGTATCCAGAAAGCAGACCATGATTGACTACTGTATAATTACTCAAATCCTTAACATCAGCAACGGTAGCATGCAACTGAGAAAACTTCGCGACTTGTTTCAACAGCGCATCTGCATTTTTCCACATGTAAATTTCCTTTCCATACACCTAAAACAGAAATAACCAAAAGAAAAATTCATATTCCCAAAATTTTTTTCACAACTATCGAAATGTTGGTAAACGATTAACTATCCATTTAACAAGTCTGCTACCGATTCTAAGAGCAAGACTAAGCGTTTTTATTCCTTCACAACGAAAGGCGACTAAAAAAAGCACAACGCCTTACCGTTAACTTTTAGAAGCAAAAACAAAATAAAAATTCAGCAGAGCCTTCCTCAGTCTCACAAAAAAAGCATAGCATAAAGAAAAAATAAAGTCTTTCCCACTAGACAGCTATTAAATGTAAAAAATTAATAAAAACATTTCAGTAGAAAAACTCATAAACTTCAATATACCAACCTTCATCATTACATATGCTAAAATACAAGTGAGTAAAAAAAGAAAAGAGTACCAATGTAGTATTGTCACGTTTTGCCTGCTCATTAACATGATGGGTTTCTACTACGAATCCCAAGAACGTATTGTCATCTGTGTGTGGATACATTGTCATAAACTGCTGCAGTTCGAGCCGGTTACCTCCCCAAGGGTTAGATTTCCCACCTAATTCAGCTTTGTGCTTCTTAAAGTACG